GCCGTCTATGAACTTCCTGCCTGTCCTGTTCCGGCCAAGGAGGCCGTCTATGAACTTCCTGCCTGTCCTGTTCCGGCCAAGGAGGCCGTCTATGAACTTCCTGCCTGTCCTGTTCCGGCCAGGGATGCCGTCTATGAACTTTCTGCCTGTTCTGTTCCGGCCAAGGAAGCCGTCTATGAACTTCCAGCCTGTTCTGTTCCGGCCAAGGAGGCCGTCTATCACGTCTCGTCAGCTCCGTAACAATATTATACTTGTTATAATATGGGGAAAATAAGTTTAAAAAAATAATAAAATGAAAAGAAAAACAGTTAGATAAATTGTTTATTTTTATATTTTAATTATAAATGTATGATATAAAATTTATTGTAATACAGTATTATACTTCATTGTTATTATTATTAAATAACAATAACAACAATAATAATAATAATTATTATTATTATTATTATATCCTTTATGGAAAGTCCACTTCAATAAACACTTTTTACAAATATGTACTGGCCCATTTGATTACCCATGAGGCTCGAGCAATCACAAGAGTAAAAACAAACAGAAGCACATGGGATGCCACATACCAGTGTGGAGCAGTTTGGCACACTGCTGCTGGCTCTCCTCCAGGCGCTGTGTGAGGGTGTTGATGACGGAGGCTCTGTCCACCTGATCCTCTTCCCTCTGACGCTCCAGCAGCCGGACCTGATCCAGCAGCCGCTGGCCCGCCTCAACCTGACAAACACACACAACACACAGTGAAACTGCAGGCCTGCACTGCCCTCTGTTGTAAGGGGTTAAGCCGCACTAAGGATTAATTCATATCTACATGTATCTGACCTGCTCGTTTAGACTCTGTGATTGTGCGTCTAGTTTCTGCTGAAGGGTGAGCAGTTTGGCTTCATACTGCTCCCGGATGGCGACCATGTCTCTATCGTGCTGCTCTCGTGCTCGTGTCAGAGTGTCTGAGCGACACAGATCCATCATCTGCTGCTTCATGCTGTCCATCGCCGCCTCAGCCACACGCTGCTGCTTTAGGCTCTGTGTACGCACACATTTCCTCTCTTATAAGGAATTGCACAGTGTATCACCACTATACACTATTTCAACAAGCCCCAATACATGAGTTGACCTGGACTTGCTGTGTGACTGATGTTGAGCATGAGGAAATCATGAGCTCGTACCTCTTGCTCTCTGTCTGTGAGAGACTGAACCTGTTTCTCCAGAGATCTGATTCTCCCCTGCAGCTGCGCTTCTCTCTCCTTCGCCTCCTCCACTAGTGCACTGGACTCCTTCAGTGATGTGGTCAGACCGTCTTTCTCATCTAAACAAAAAGCAACACATTTTGTGGCTTAAATTCATATTAAACTGATAAGATCAACACTTAAGACACATTCCAGATCACTTTTGACCCAGAGGAGTGCATACAATAGTTTTTTAGTATGGGAATCAAACTTTGCTGATGTGTTCAGACTATCAAAATACACTTATTTTCCAGATTTTTTTTTCTGAAGAAATATAAAATAACCTTAATTGTACCACCCTTCACATTCGGGTTCAGTTTTGACTGGATTTGATCTCTCGGAAAAAATACTTCTGTAAATATATATTTAGCATCTTTCCTGTATCTCTCACAAACTTTTAGGACTGAACTTGGTTGAAAAACATAAATATGCACGCACACAGACAACAATAGTAAACAATATCAAATTAACTGCTGCCCAAAGGGGTGCAGAGCAAAAGTTGAAGGACCAAATAGCCTAAATTTGAAAAAGGAAAGAAGGTTTGAAAAAGGAGAAGCCCACATTTTACTGAGTAACACTGATTTTGATCTGATGTTGTTTTGTTAGAAAAAGAATATGCAGGAGTTAATAATGGTAATCTTCATGTTATACTCTCTTATAAATTTCATATACTCAAATAAAATTTATCATATTGTTATTATTTTTTAATTGGTTTCGCTATAGCGCACATAATATTTGAAATAAATTTTTTTTTATTTAAAAAAAGTGGCAAGTGTCATAATAATAACATTGTAACATGCAACACTTTTAAATGTTTGCTAGCTCACTCATTAAACAAGTTTTATAGCTTTAATGTTATTAGGGATGCACCGATATGAAAATTTTGGCCGATACCGATAACCGATTATTCTTTATATTTGAAAGCCGATAACCGATATGTTGGCTGATAAATCTATATCCAAACTGTTATATACTTTTTGAGAGCCTGATTACAAAAAAGGTCTCATCATTAAAAGCCACATCCCAAACACTTCAACATAAGCAGCCTAGTTTGAACGGTGTACGTTTTAAAAATATTTTTACTCTCCCATTACCAAATTTAGTCATAAAAAAGTCTTACAAATAAATAAAATAATGCATAAATAATGCAAACAAGTCACTGGACATCATTACACGTGTAAAGAATCAAAATGAATGCGCCATAGATCAATAAAACGGAATAGCCTCTGCACGGACAATAATTAAATGATTTTAATTACTAAACCATATTGTTGATGAAAATAATAAGAGAAAAATACAAGTGGTTGTCGTTATTAATAATATATCAATGATTTTGAAAAAGTAACAAATTAATACCACTGTTTTAAATAGCAGCCATTGAGCTGCAGCTCAAGCTGAAGCTGAAGAGCTGAATGAACACGGTAAACTGAAGCGTTTTGCTGGCAGCTTATTTAACTCAAGGAAATGCATCCTGAGATTAATATTAATACAACATAAACATAATATTACAACTTATATATGAAATGACAAATGACGCAGTTATTGCATGCTATAGTCAGAATGTGTGATCCTGCTGTGGATGCGCTCTTCCCATAACAACGCGCTGAAACACGGCAACTAAACCCAAAGAATTCACAACGTTTTATTATAATAATGTTCTCATTAGAATGTTATATACACAACATTCCCAATCATAGTTATTAATGTTGTGCACTGCTGTTTGAGCTGCGTGCGCTGAGCTAAAGACGATCACCGGTAAACTGAAGAGCTCTTTTAACTTAACCAAACGCATTCTATATGAGATAAATCAGATATACATCAAATAAACACAATATTACAACGTACAATTGCACAAAAGGCTGCAAACGAACAGCGCGCATCTGAAGTGTCTCTGAAGGAAATAATGCATTATTTATCGGCTTTAAGATATCGGCCAAATTTTCTTATCAGGCCGATACCGATAACAGAAAAAATGAGCCGATATCGGCCGATACCGATATGGTGGCCGATATATCGTGCATCCCTAAATGTTATAACTATGTTATGTTATGACTGTTTATGACAAGTTATGACTGTTTTAAAAGCTTACGTTCCCACCGGGTCAAAATCAACCCAGAATATGAAAACAGTATGCAGTTTTTATGTATTATAAGGGATCAAATAATATAGCTGATAAACTAGCAACAGATGTTGATGAGCTTTTAAAAAACAAAATAATAATTAAAAAAAATAATAAATTATGATTGGGAAAGAGCTGAATTTAAAGCAGTGATAATCTGGTTAATCTGACCTTTAACAATGGTGAATTGGTGCTCCAGATATCTCATCCTCCTCCTGCAGTCCTCTAGTTTCTGTTCCAGCTCCTCGATCTGTCTGGATTGAGCTCGGTTTAAAATCTGAAGCTGCGCCAGCTGCTGACCATCTGCTGTACCTGAACAACATTCATACAACACACCTCAATCTCCTAAAATACTACTAACATAGTCATTACAAATACAATTTCCAATAAATGCTGTTCTTTTCAACTTTGTTATTCATCAAAGAATCTTGAGAAAAAAAAAAAAATGTTTCATGAAATGATTCTTGAGCAGAAAATCTGCATATTAGAATGATTTCTGAAGGATCACGTGACACTGAAGACTGGGGTAATGATGTAATAGTTTTTAGAGTAAGTTATTACAGTAATTGCACTACGTTTTTACTGTAATTTGATCAAATGAATGCAGCCTTGGCGAGCAAAAGTCTTACCAACCCCAAACTTTTAAATGGTAGTGTATAATGGTATCTTACTCTGAGTTGAGTCCAGGAAGTCTCTCTGAATCTGGTCAAAGGGGCCATTCTGACTGGTCACTTGAGGATTGAACATCTTGGGCTGGTTTGAAGGTTGATGTGGGTGGTAACTAGCCTTGTAGGCATCAGTGGGTTTGTTCCTAGCTCCTCCATTATCAAAAACCTTCAACAAATGTGCAAAATTTAGAAACATGCATACAATGTTTAATAAAAGAAATTAAAATTGGCTGCAGGCATTCACCTGAAAGTGGTTTCTGATGTTGTTCTGCTCCCCATGGACTTGTCCCTCATCTCCATGGTAACCTGCCCCATGTTGAAGAGCGTTATGAGGGTACGCGTCCTCTTCCACCCCGTCCCCAGTGGAGAAGTCAGTGCCGTGGGACTCGTCCGTGCCTGCGGATGAGTGTGCATAGTCTCCGTTCTGGTACTGGTAGTTCTGTGGGTCCCAGGTGGTGGGTAAATGTTCTGTCCCAGTCTGCAGGTGATGAGGGTGACTGTTGGTCTGAGACGTGTGACTCCTATAGCTGTAGTCCTCATGATACTCCTCATAGTGCTGCACACACATGCAAGAAAATGATTAACTGAATACAGTCAGTGTAACTTGCTACAGTATATTAAATGCATCAAATTTTATGACCATTTCATCCTTTCAATGACTCTCATAAGTAATCAGGCTGTTTTTGCTGCATCTGAAACTAATAAACTCACTTCCTCATGGGAAGAAGGTCTTGGATGCTCCCATTGTGGCACATTCCAGGCATGCTGCGGTCTGAAAGACAAACACATTAGGTATGTTTTATTAAATAGTAGGGGTGTGACGAGATCTCGTGAGATCCGATGTGTCTCGCGAGATCTGACTGGTCTCGCGAGAACGTGCCGATATCCTCACGCAGACATTTCAGATATATTTGCATTACACTGGCTCGTTCACAAGTGGTGTATGCAAGATATTTTATGTTTACATCAGGCAAGCGGCCGCATGATAAGTGGGAAAATTACGCAGTGTAGTCTTTATCCAGTCATAAAAACAGAATTCACAGTTTAACGTGGAATGTCACGGAATTTGTCAAATTTTGAATGAATTAATCAAAAGTAGGTCATTACACTTAAATCAACTCACGATATGGACTAGTATCTGTAAACATTAAGCCGCAAAAGTCGATTTAAATATGAGTTCTGCATGTTCTGCCTGTCTCTGTTAATGAATGGCGCAGGCGTGCGGTTTCATTTACTACACACACACTGAAGCGCGCGTGACACTCGCGGTGATTTCAGCATCTGCAGTCTCACTAAATGAGGATGTAAACACATGAACAACATCTCCAGAACTGCTCTAAGAGTCACTTCATGAGCATTTTAGCGTTTGATTTGAGTAAAACTGTAAAGGTATTCACGGCAACCCGTCAAAATATTGCCGGTTTGTTTGGAAGACATGGTCTGTGCCTATAACTATTTTTCAGTAGAATGTACATAGCCTACTACTACTATTAAAATGAAACAAACATTATTTTTAAGGAATAATCACACAAAACATTTCTTCCATGTTTTAATTTTAATAGTAAATCCCCTTTGTTTGCCAAAAAAATCTTGTTTGCTTAATTTTCAATAATTAAAAGATAAATGATCAATTAAATTAATGTTTTATACCTTCATTTGATAACCAGAAAAATGTAAATACACAACACAGAATTTCTGAGGGGAAAAAAAATTAATGAATAATGAAAATGAATAAATTAAATTGTTTTATGCATTCAAATAATTAGACATGCTAAAACACAGAATTTGGTAACAATAAAAAATATGAATAATATGGTGAGAAAAAATAAAACATTTCATAGGGTGAAAATTTATAAGTTTCATGATTTTAATTCATTAGACATGCTTTTTAATTAATACAATTTAATTTAACTTAAAAAGGAGTCGAGAAAAATTTAAACGAAAAATTTAAAAACGCAATCCAGAAAAATTTAAATGGAAAAAACGGAATTTGGAAAAAAATTTAATGGATTTCATAGGGCCCTATCTATCCCTCAGCCTTGCCGTGCCCCCCAGTTTCTTTTAAATAGATACATTAATCGTGTTTATTATATATTTTTTATTAAAGTGGAAATCAGTTTACTAAATAATGTAAACTTGACTGACTGCTTCACTTCCACTTTAAAGGGATATTTATGTTGTTTATTATTTATTTATACTATTTATAATTTTTGTGCAATTACTTGCCTGTCATTTGAGTTTGTGGCAAAACATTTAGCAATGTTTACATGTTGTTTATTACTGCATAAAATTAATTAAAATAGATGTTTAATTTCATAAAGTACAAGGTGATTTCAAAATGCACCTACTTTTTTTGCATTTTGTGTTTTTCAGTTGAATAAAAGACTAAAAGAATAAAATTTTCCTCATATATTTCATCATTGAGGATTTCTTTAAAAAAAAGTCTAAAAATCTCGTCTCATCTCGTTCTCGTGAACCCAGTCTCATGTCTCGTCACACCCCTATTAAATAGGTATTTCAAGTAAGTGTTGCATAAGGGTGTTTTGATGTGTTTTGTACCTGTTGTTGTCTTCTGGGTGACTGCAGGTGGAGCGGTCGAGCTCAGGTGAGGAGCAGTCGGCGCTGTCATCCAGCATATCATCAGGGAGATCAGTCAGGAGCTTGTGGAGCTAAAACAAACAAACAAACCAATCAATAAAAAATTCAAACAACCATTCAGGACGGTATTTTTCCCACCCACAAGCGGTCTTCTCCCCCGCCAGACTGTTAAGGAACAAATTAGAGGTCTTCACGGGTCCACTTGGATCTGAAAACCTGAGGTCCAAATTGAGATATTAGTATGATATCATGTCAATCCATGCTTCTATGACACTGGTGCACTCAGCGAAAACAAATGAGTGGTGGGATTTGCTTATAAATGAATAAAACATAGGCTAAATGTAAATGCAATCTCTATTCAGAGATACCAAGAGATGTTTGTGGTTTTTAAAAACAGCTAACAATTGATTGGTTGCCATATATATAAAAAAAAAGACATTAATTTTTGTTTATCATCTATTTGGGACATCAGGCATTGCACTCTGCAAGCTATTACTCTCTGTATTTTTAACCAGTGATTTTCTTCAAAGAAATAAAAATTAATAAAAAAAAAAAACAAGCAAAGTAATATAACTAGGAACAAATAACTTATAAAACAGGAAGTAAATATTATAAACAAACACTTATTTTGATTAAATGCAGACAATTCAGATGGTAGTGCACAAGAGAATGGTATATATGAGACCTTTTTTGTAATCAGGCTCTCAAAAAGTATATAACAATTTGGATATAGATTTATCGGCCAACATATCGGTTATCGGCTTTCAAAAATAAAGAATAATCGGTTATCGGTATCGGCCAAAATGTTCATATCGGTGCATCCCTAATCTACATACACACATTTTTCTCTTGATATACAGTATATCAACTATTTTTATAAGCCTACACTACCTAAAAAGCATGATCACTCTTATTATGCCTAAATTCACTTCAGCATCATCACAGCATGTGGTATGAAATATGGATAACTACTCATTTTAAGATGATAAAAACATCCCTATAATGAAGGAGGGATCTGTATAAGTGTTCTATAAAGTTTAATTCTTTCACATTATTTCTCATTTGTAAGTCGCTTTGGATAAAAGTGTCTGCTAAATGACTAAATAAACTATCTATTGTGATTCATTTAGGTTAGCAAAGTTAATCTAAAATCCACAATTACATTTTATATTAATTTGCTGAGACAGACAAAGAAAAAAAAAAAAAGACGTAAAAAAAGCAAAATCACTAATATTAGATCATATTCATATGCTCTCTCTAAAAAAAACAAAAAAACTTTCAGTCAACCACTAATACACAAGATCTCCAGTAAGTAGACTGTAAGTAAGTGTCTGACAGGCCATCTCTCGAGGAATGTAATTTTAAACATTATCATCATTTTCCTCAGAAGTTGCTCAATACAATAATGCAATATTGAGTTTAATGGCAAACACACTGAAACTATGAGAAACGAAAAAAAGCACATGGAAGCAACCGATTCACTGCAAGTCCCATAGCAACCATTTAAAAAAAACACACCCGCCCGGTTACAGACATGCTGAACTCTCACACAAACGCCAACACATGGCCCTGAGCCGTCTTAAAGGAGCCTGAGCACTCCTAACTTTAAGCAACTTCAGTATCTTTCACATAATGATGAAACACCGCTCATGTCTCAGTATCGGAGGACAGACAGACAAACTCACCCTCCATAACTCCCGCTGGATGAGCCGCACATCCTGATACGTTCCCTCGGAAATGACACTTTCCCGCATTTACACTCCTACGACGGCTACTGCAGGAGCTCTTGGACTCAATGACATACTGAAACACTATTGTGTGCAATGCTGGATTTCAGCAGCATGGGTCATATGAATAACTCCAGAAAAAAGAAAGCAGAAAACGAGGAACTAAGCCGTCCTCATTTGTCCAGGCTGAGGTCGGCCCATTGTGGGAGTCAGAATATACGTTTCAGTTAACTGGAGCAGAAACATTCCTCCTCTGATGGACAAAAAACAAAGACAAACAGCCTGTGAAAATGACGGCGCATGTGATGCACATCAAAATTGATGGTCACCATTCACCTCATACTATTATTTTCGGATTCTAATCCAAATGGAGAAGTGCAATTGCCTACAATTTATCCCTCCATACAGAGCAAACGTTTGCTCTGAGATGAACTCGTGTGCAGCTTCAGTAAAGAGCTGTGAGTGTGTAGGGCAGTGGAAACTGACTATATGACACAGCAAACCCACCTGACTGCATTGAACATGCACCAATGACAGCAGACGTTCATTCATGCAGCCGATAGCTGTAAGGTGAGTCAGAACACACACTTCTGATAGGAGAAGCTCTGCCCTTTAAAAACAAACACTGTTACTGCATGTGACTGGAAACAGAAGAATCTTTAACTACTTATATGAATAACCAAGAGCCTAATTCAACAAATGTGGACCGAGTAACTTGAGTACATGCACAGTAAAAGTCAGCTAGCTCACGTTGGAACAAAATCACAAGAAAAAGATTCAATCAAACTCTTGTGTTTCATACACTAGTATTTAATGGTTACACCGGCATGTTAAGCATTAACTGCAGGCCATGACAAAGAACAGCCCTGACAGAAGGACTTGATTAGAATTACAGTTTCCAATATTAATGTCACAAAGAATACTGAAATGTCTGTTGGCAGATATACAAATTTAAAACATGAACCGGATGAAACTGTATGTACCTGCTTTAACAAGATGGACACAAAAACTGAAACAGACATACACTGAATATGAGAAGCTCACTGCTGAACTGCAGCTGATATTGCACATTTTTCAACAGAAATGGGCACCAACTGAAACACATTCACTTAAAATAGCTTGAATGTGAGTTAATGTATCCAGCAGACATAGAATATAGTGTCATTCTTGAAGTGTAATTATACCATAAATTTTGTTTCAACAAAATTGTATTATTATTTTCTCTTTATTAAGATATGTATGTAATGAAAGTGCTACGTAAACATACATTTTGTTTATAATTATAAAAATATAATTTTAAAAAACAATGACGTGTTTGCTTTCCGGAAACTGGATTTAAATTCAACATGAAAGGGAAATTGCAACTGTCTTAAACATTTTTCTTGAATGAGATTAAAAAATATATATAATAAATTAAGGATGTAATTTTTTTTACATTGGGCTCCGAGTATGGGTCAGCATACTTGGCCACATGTCACTTCACTTCATTTACTATCGGTGTTATTTTTTTGGAAACTGTGATACTTTTTTCAGGATTCTTTGATGAATAAAAAGTTAAAAAGAACAGCATTCAAGTCTTTACTGTCACTTTTTAAATCAATTTTACACATCCTTGCTGAATAAAAAGTATTAAAGGGGTCATATGATGCTATTTTAAAGATCATTATTTGGTGTACAAAAGATTTCTATTTTAAGTAAATGCTGTTCTTTTTTACTTTTAATTCATCAAAGAATTAATATATATATATATATATATATATATATATATATATATTAATCGATGTTGACCCTTTTAAATTGTTGTCCACAGTGGAACGTATAAATTCATCTGGCTGTTTTTTGGTCCAAGTATGCCATGCAGCAGATGACAGCTGTCAGTCTGGTGGGTGTGTTTGTGTGTCAGTGCTCAGTAACTGGACAGATACCTCTTGTTCTCTGGCATAGTCTTCCTGATCATACTCCTCTTCCTCCTGCTGGGTCTGTAAAGCTGCACTGTCAAAATCAATGGACATCCTGCTGATCTGAGAGGAGAAATGACACACTGAGACAGGAAATGACCAGCAATCACATCCACTTACACTACATTCAACCAGTCTACTGATAAAACCCAGAACAACCAGCTAAAACATATTTGCCAAACACCGTTAATCCCAGATACAGGTAGTTTCTAAGCAACACATTACACCTCGTTCATGTAGCACTAGTTTATAAGCTTCAGTTCACAAACAAGGCTGTGTGTGTGAGTTTAAATCATCTCTGCTTACCTTTAAAGCTTTAATAAAGTCGCCACAGTCCTAAAGTAACACAATAATCCCAAATGAAGTGTTTCTATGAGACACATTACAGTGTCTCGGTGCCTCACAAACTCATGCCGCAACAATATTGATATAAAATGACTGCGTACGAGTAATAAACGATCTGCAAATGTTTGTTCGTCCGTCACAGATGGTGAAACTCGATTAATGCTGACTAAAATCGATATTACAGCAGATATTTTGATGAAAGTCTCTGTCCATTGAAACATGGCGCCGTAAACAGCGGCAAAAGTCCTGCATTCTGATTGGCTGACGGGAGAAAGACGTCATGTGAACGTTATAGCCAATGGTTACGGCCTATCATGCGTCAACAGAAAGGTCTTTTCTCAGCCATAGAACTGTATCAATAATAATACAATTAATCATAACAACAACATTATTTATTTGGTTTATACAAATATATGAACGATTTTATACATGTATGGTTTTCAATTAAAATGATAGATTTTTATAGTAAATATATTTACATTATATATCTTTATATGATTATCAATATTAACTGGTTTGGTTATTCGGTTAGGACTTTTAGCCGTGTAGTGTACGCATGAAAAATTATTATTGTTCATTATTGTCCTTTTTTTTGTCCTATATTGTATGCGCTTTAAGCTATTAGTTTAATTAGGAGAAATAATGTAAGCATATGAAAAATGTACACCTTTGTGTTTTTGAGCATTGAAACATGAAATTGTTTATCACACATAAAATCATAAACCTTTACAGACATTTCTTCTAAAGCCAAAAATGCATTTTAAATTATTGCTATTTAAAAAATTATAGACAATTTATGGTAATTACAATAGTTTAGATGTATAATTGTTATATATTTTATTCAATATATTTACATTATATACTATTTACACACACACACACACACGTGTAAAAAAATATTAAAATATATATACAGTGCACAGCATAAATGAGTACACCCCCTCTGATTAAATATAAAAGATGTCTTTTCTTAATGATCACTAATATAATTCATAGAAAGATGGCAAAATTGAAATGTATTAAACATATACTTAATAAAAACAGATAAATACATGCCATTAATATCTGTAAAATAAGAAACTTAGCCAATTTTTGTTTCAATGAAAGATTGCAGAATTGAGTACAACCTAGATTTAATTCAACCTAAATGATTGAATTGGTCTCATGAGACCAGAGTATGGATTCCCAGAAGTCTATATTTTGTAAATATGGGTCTTGGAAAAAGCCAAGTGAGTTTATTGTGCTTTGGCTACAGTAGGTAATTCTAGTGGTGACAACAACCATGCATGCTGCATCTTACTCTGTGAGATAAAGTGTCACTCTCTTCACAGCTTTTGCCGGCTCTGAGACACTTTCAGTGTTTCTCCTGCTCTTTTTCTAGCAAAAACTCACTCATCACTAAATGAAAGCTTAAAGTGAAGACCTGAGTATTTCAGGAGCCTTATCACGAGTCCATTGTTTTTGAATTTCTGTTACTTTGGCTATATTTTCACTTAAAACAATAATTTGGTATTCCTCTTGTACCATTGTCCTTTTATGCTAAGAAATAAAGCTGACATTTCTCTCTCAAGTGGTTTCATTGTTGTCAGCATTAAGTCCGAGTATGATTCAGTGGGCCATATAACACTTCATTATCAAGAAATGACTTACCTTTAACAGTTTTGGTTCAACATACTTACCTGATGATCAATACTTGCCTTAACCTTACACCAGAATTTTAGTTTTGTTTAGTAACTTTCAGGAGGGTGTACTCATTTTTGCAACACAACATTTTATCACTTTAAGAAAATGGTATTTCTTGAATAATTTTAACGTTCTGCTTTGGTAACTTATCAAGCAGACTTGCTGGAATATTATATCTCTAAAAAAACCGTAACATGTATTCTAAGCAAAGAGTAATTGCTGAATTTGTTAAGTTTCAGAGGGGGTGTACTCATTTATGCTGTGCACTGTATATATGAAAATTATTGCTTTGTCCTTTCTGTATATTCAGCGATCATATTTTTTAAATAGGTGAAATATTGCCTGTATATGTAATCTTATCATTTTTACTTCATTGCTTATCACACAAAATCATACACCATTGCAGACACATTTTTCACTGAAGCAAATAATGTATTCTTTATTTTTGTTGTTGAAAAGTGAAAGAGCTCAGACAGCATAACGCTTTAAACAGATCTGTAATATTTTTTGAGAGAAATTGTAGCAATGACTGCATTTTTAATATGCATGTGCTGTGGTGCAACTGCATAAAACTCACAAACTGAGTTCTATGCAAACCAAGTAAAACATGCTGACTCTGACAAGAGACAGTTCAACAAATAAATGATTCAATTTCACACAGCATGTCCTCCCGCTTTCCATTAAAGACAAACATATGCCTTTTAGATGTCTGCAAAGTGCCAATATGTGCTATTAAAGAAAACATTTTTTTTTTAGATGATGCAAACATGTTCATATTAGAGACCTATAACAATTCAGTACAGCAGACATCCCGTGGGAACTTCTGCTCTGTTAAGGACATTTAAAACTGACTTAAGTGACTACAGCTGTAAAAAAATACACACTAGCCAAATTACGTTCCCCCTTCTGTGATCGGGGGAGTAAAGGCCTTGAAAGTAGTTAATGTCACTGACAGCCTCGAGTCAACCGGCTGCCTGTAGAGTCAACTTGTTTTCCAGGATCATCAGTGTCAAATCAAGCCAGTTTGCTAACAATGGCCTGGTTGAGAGTGTTCAGCTGATTGGTCCATTTGTCCAGGGCAGTGTATCGAGCTCCGCCTCTTTTCTGGTGATCGAGCTCCAACAGCTGATTGACTTGATCAATTCTACCATTGATTGTGCTGAAAGAAAGACATACACAAGATTAAAAAAAATATGCAGTGAAATAGTATATAAAAAATAGATTTTTACAAAAACAAAAATCTCTATTAAAAAGTGTTAAACTTACTTGTCTAAAATACACTGCACAAGCAAGCTTTCCACATCTGCAACATCAATATTCAATTCCTAAAGAAAAACAGGGAACATTACATTAAAATAGCATAATATAATATAATATAATATAATACAATATAATGTTTACCTTTGAAATAAATGGTATGTGTATCCTAGTGTAAGGCTTAATCAATTTGATGAGCACTTGTGTTCTTATGTTCCGTAATAATTCTGAAAGGAAAAGCAGAGAGAAAAATTATTATGTACTTACTGACTCCACATTTGTTGTCTGAGATTTATGAAATAAATATGCGAATATGTGCGTGAAAGTCAAAGCCACCCAAACTGACCCTCAATATGTTCTCTGATGAAGGGGTCGTCCATTATGTTGCTGTGATTCGTCTTTAGGATTTTCTCAAATTCTGTGATGTCATTGTTCTGGTAGGCACTAGAAACAAGTTAAAGGCAATTGATACCATAAAATCAATCTATTCAGACCATAAAAACTGAATTAAAAAAAGAACAGGATCAGATAAATGGAGAAATTAAGTATGTAAGTTGTGTGGACTTACCTTACCAGGTTTGTCATTGCTAGGATTTCTGGATCATTTTTGTAAGGTTTCGCCTAGTCACATAGTGATTTAGAAAAAAATTGTTTATTTAGTTATATTACAGACCAGAGCATTTTATCTTCTATGGTCAGGCCCAGATGAGATCAGCGGTTCTGTGCTTTTTTCTGCTCTTATTCTGGGAGAAAAATAAGTAGCTTTTTAAGTTTCAATTATGTACATTTAGCGAAACAGAGTACAACATGTGCCTACTGGTCAATATAAGCAAACTCAAATTCACCAAAATATTTCAGATATGAACATGCAACGGTGAAAAATTGTAGAGAATTGAGACATGGGTTTCCAAATCTAGCTTGCTGATGGCCTTAGATCCCATGTGGGCCTGCGCATTATTACCACCTTATACCTCTTGAGAATCAAATGGGTTGATTCCAGACTTCATCAGCATGTTGGCCAAGACCAGGTACTTCAGACAAGTGGTTCGCCTGGGGCTTCCAGACTCGTCATAGTTTTTGAATGCCTCGAAAAAGTCTGTATGTGCCTTCTCGAACTCTCCCTCCCTCAGGTGCATTTTACCGCCACATTCTAAAAAGAACCAGCCACATGTCAAACAAAATTAGTGAACTTTCCAATTGTGCGTAAAACAAAAACAAACCAAACTTTCCAACTGTACACAAACAAAAACCAAACCAACTAAAAACTGAACTCTTCTCTTTCCAGGTACTCTAACAACAACAAAAAAACCCATCAAATACCAAAACAATCTTTCCAATTATACACAAACAAAAATGAAAAATAAATACTAAATTAACCAAACCAAAACTAAACATTAGGGATGCACCGATATGAAAATTTTGGCCGATACCGATATGGTGGCCGATATATCGTGCATCCCTACTAAACATTAATTTCTAAGTCTTCATCTTCACAGCCACAAACAAAATTTGCAATTGTACACAAAACAAAACCCAAACCAATCCAAAATAGGCTAATCGTTTAATGTAATCGTAATAATTTCCATGTCTCCCCAACTACAAACTCATTTTGCAATTGTGCGCCAACCAAACAAACAAACAAAAAAAAACAACCTCAAAACAAAATTAAAAAAAAGACACTAATTTTAATTTTAACAACTACAAACAAACTTTTTAATAGTACACAAAAAACTCAAACAAAACTAAAACAAACCAAAGCAAAACAAACTTTCCAATTATAAAAACCAAATCAACCCAAACCAAAAACTAAACACTAATTTCCATGTCTTATTTCTTCATAATTTCATCTCTGGTATTAAAAAAGTGTTCATTACCTCTGATGACTCCCATGATGAGCGGATGTGGGATGGCTGATTTAATGTGTAATGACTGCTCATAGAGGGCTTTGAGTTTCTTGTTGTTTTTCTGCGCCGTATACATCTGAATCTCCAAAGCGTAGATCTCCAACAGCTGAGTGCCCTTCTTCAAGTCGTCCTCTCCGTCATCCGTCTAGGTGTGTGCAATAATGACAAAAAAATGATCTCAATATTTTCTGGAATTTTGTTGATAACGATATTTAGACAATATTTTGTTGAGCATGTTATTGTGCTGGTACTTTGGCAGGTTTAGGATTGACGTGGTGATTAGTTTTCAGGAGTAATTAACTTTTCCAATTAGTTTAAATAAAATTCTTTTTTTTTACATTTTATGGCCATTTTTACCTTTATAAGACTAATTTTTTTCTAGCCTAATTAAATGTATGC